TTACTTTTGATGCAGTTACATGAAAGATGTTACTTTGAACTATAACCTTTGCCAAGTTTCAGTACCTCCTGTGGTTCTTTCTCAAAATGTTTGGCTTTTTTCCCCCCAACTTTAATGAAAGCATTTTTTTTTTCCTGATATGAAGAGGTCTTGTTTCTTAAGTGTAACCTAAAAGATGAAAATGAGGTGATTTTACATTGCCACACTGTTAAATGGTAGATGGAAGCTTTTAAAAAGGCAGGTGTCTTCAATTTCAGAAATCAAATTAGAAAAAAAAAATGCCCACTTAAACTCCTGTTCAAACACTGCAAAATTCCATCAGGAAAGAAGGAGTGAGTGCACAGTCCCCTAGATTTTTAGTGCTAGGTATTCAGAGTTATAGTTTGTTTACTTCCTAAAAAGGGTCTGCTCTTCCTAAAACTTGTGTCCATGCATGGTGGCAGCATCATTTGAAAGTACCATTAAATCTTCGTAGCTTATCAATTCATTCCCCTGGGTACTATGAAAATAGTTTTTTTCTGTAACTGCCTCCCTTTTGAATGATATTTAATTTTTACAAATATAACTCTCCAACATCCAGTTGTGAGACACAACATGACAAGTCTTTGAGGGAAGAGGCTGTCCGTGAGGGGCTTCATGAGATCTAGAAACTCTAATTCACGGACAGACAACTCTCCCACCTCAAAGAAGGAAACTTAGAGTTGCTCAACATTTATAGAGCCTATTAAATAGCAGTAAACCCCATCTAGGTGTTTTAAGTGAGTTGGTGCATCTTCACATAGGTGCCATTTTAAAATATTGGCTAATTAAATGAAATCTAAAACCTGTTGTCCTTTCACATTTTTCCCCCATGAGACACAACAGTGATAAATGTAGGAAAATTTAAATGACAAGTTACATTCTCTTTGTCAGAGCTGTTTTTATCCCTAGTGTGAAATCAGAGATTTTCATCTCAACTTTGTCCTTTAACATTTTTCAAATGTTACATTGTGCTATTTTTAATCCTGGAAAAAATGCACATGATTGCTTTTTTTTTTTTTTTTAAGTCTCCATGCATGGTATCTCTTGACTAGTAGGAATCTGAATTGGTGAAATGCCCAAATACTAATATAGAGCCAAATAAAGGAAGAACCTGCTCACTTGAAGCCAGGGTAAGCACGTAAGTGTGTCCTTTCATGGTTTTGATACTGTACTCTAGCTATGCACGGTGCTCACACTGGGGAGGCTGAGTGAAGGGTACATGGGACTTTCCTGTACATTTTTGTAACGTCCTATGAATCTATAAGTATTTCAAAATTATTTTTTTAAAAAAAGTGAAGCAGCCCCCCAGATAGCCCGCACACACAGAAGCGTTGGGCTGTATTCCTGAGTGTGGTCGTGTATGGCACGTGGCCCTTCAGGATCAGGGCGACCACCTCACCCCCCGGAAATTCTGGCTCAGCCGGGGGGCGAGGTGGGGCCCAGGCACCCACAGGCACCTCCGGAGAGCGCCCCTGGCACCCACCCCCACTGCCCTAGCCCGACCCCTGAGGCAGAGCCCGGGCCCAAGGGACCAGGCCCCAGCAGGAAGAAAGGTGTGGAGGGCCTCCCGAAGCCCCCACTGGGCACAACCCTTCTGGGCTCGGAGGCTCCGGGGCTCCCTGATGGACGGACGCACTCCTGATGCGCAGTCCCCAGGCTGTGAAGTCAAGTCACTGTGAGGCCGGCATGTGCAGCCAGCTTGATCATTACCCGGCTCACACGCCCGACTCCCCGCTCCATCCTCAGAAAGGAAAGTGCTCTCCCCGTGGTACTTTGGTTTCCCAAAGAGAGGCTCCCAAGCGACCCAAGGATAGAGTTAGGAATCACTGGAAATGGCAACCCGCTGATAAAGTTCTAAAAGACTCAAAGCCTTAAAAAATGTATTTGTCTGTAAGAGAAAATAAATGACAGCTAAAAATCTCAAGGCATGTAACCTGTTAACTTTAGGTTTTAACAGTTTTCAGACAGGAGCTTAAGACTTGTCACAAGTCACCACTTGTAGGTGAATTTTGTACTTTGTAATAATGAGGTACAGATGAAGGGTTTTGTTGCCTTGCTTTAATGCTTTAAGTTTTTTTGTAATAATCCACCTTCATGTTACCCTGTTGAGAGCTTGTGTTTTAAAACTCTTGCTTCGTTCTCTTACCTGAATCTTTAAGAGGGAAAAAAAAAAAGTAAAAATTAAAATATCTGGGAAATAAGTCCAGGTACATCCAACTTTAGAAAATATCCACCTTGGTTCTTTTGGAATGCTTGCCTCAGTGGAGCCAAGTCTCGACAACTTCACGTTCACATTGTGTTTTTCTTTAAAAACTAACAAGTAATGCTTTTTAAAAATATTTTTTCTTGGGGCGCCTAGGTGGTGCGGTTGGTTAAGCATCCGATTCTTGGTTT